GCCTATCTGTTGATAGTGGACGAAGCAACTCGCTTCAAATCTGGTGGCACTTTGCAGAGTCGTGAACTCAGCTCCATCCTCAACGCTTTAACCAACAACTGGCTTCGCTTCTTTGGACCACCAAGACAACTTGTTGCTGATCAAGAGACTGCAATCATGACACAAGAAGCTGGTGCTGAGATGGACCGACTCAACATCGTTCGATGTCCAAAGGGAACTACAACAGGCAAAGAAGGAAAGAAACACACAGGCACAGGTCTAGTCGAGAAACATGTAGACTTGACCAAGAACTGCATGAACAAGATCTACGAAGAAGCCCTGAGGTACAACATCACTGTTGAGAAAGATGAGCTCTTCTCTGAAGCAATGATGGCACAGAACAGTACTTTGAACTATGGAGGATACACGCCATCAATGTGTGTGTTTGGAGTGCTACCCCGTGGCTTCATGAATGTAGATGACATCAACCTTGCAGTTGAAGGAAGTGATCCAACCAACTCTACGTTTGAGAGGGCTGCCAGACTTCGACAGATTGCCCTGTCTGCTGCACAGTCATCAGTTCTTGAAGAACGAATTGTTCGTGCTGGCCGCACTCGTCCTCAACATGTGGATACTTCGACCATGGTTCCTGGAACAACGCAGATTGAGATTTTCAGAGAAGATCCTGCGAACACTGGCCATGGCTGGCGAGGTCCTGCAACTTTGTTGGATTTGGATGAGTCAAATGGCACTGTCATTGTGAAGTACCAAGGCGGACCTTATCTTATGTCTATCAGGCATATTCGACCTTTCAGAGGGCATTTCTTCCTTTTGGATGAACATCAACTACAAGAAGAGGCCATGCTGCGATTGCAGAGTGTTGTGGAGTCATCAACACCTCACAGAATGCATAGTCTTGGCCATATCTATCAGAAGAACTCCAAGACTGAAGCGTTCGAATGGAAGGCCTTTCCACCAGATATGGACTTCAACAACAATGAGATCATGAAAGATGTGAGACTGATCGCATCACATTTCAAGGTGCCCGTCTTTCATGGAGTTCGATATGGCCGTGCTCTCAAAACAATTCATGTTCCTCTTCACACAAAAGGAATTCTCTTGTGTTGGCCCTCTGGATCCAAAGAATATGTTCTGGTGGAGCATATCAATGACAAGCACATCAACCTGAAGAAAGAAATGCATCGTGTGTTGGATGATATTTGTTTCATTTACATCTATACATACGTCATTTTTGAAGACCATCAACCTTTGACCATTACCTCACGACAGTCACCGCAGCAACAACAATTTCGTCAACCTCATGACTCAACACTCCAACCAATGCAAGCAGAAGAAGTTCGTGATCCAGCCTCCAAAAGAGATGAACCAGAAACCGTGACCATTCTGGAGGAGCCTGGCGTGAAGCGGCAACGAGTTTTCCACAACAGCATGTCTCTCCAAGATCTTTTCTTGCGATCTCTTTGGTGGATGCTTCAGCGACCAATGTGTGTCAATTGGGATCCACTTTGTTTCTTTGACCAACAAGCGCATGACCTAGGTGAGCCTCGTCTTGTTGACCATACGATGAAACATCATGAACAAGCGCTATTTGTTCTTCCTTGTCGCACCGCTGCAACTTTGTATGCTGATTTGCGAGAAGGAGAGATTTTTCGTGTGGACACCGACACCGATGTTTTGACTGAGGCCGATTTAGTGTCTCACTGGCAAGAGTTTGAGATTGCAGATGAGTTGGAAATTAGACAGTTTGTGGAAGAACAAGCATTTACCAAGATCGCAGCCAATCAAGTCACTGATGACACAGTCATAGTGGATTGCACATGGGTCAGAAAATTCAAGAGAAATGCAGACGGTTCCAGAAAGGCAAAATCCAGACTTTGCGCAAGAGGGTTTCTTGATCCTCAAAGGCATGAAGTGCCTACGAGATCTACAACGGCAACGCGGTTGTCTCAGAGATTGCTCTTGTCTATGGCTTCCATTTTTCAATTTGTTTTGCAAAGCTGGGGCGTTTCTGGGGCATTCTTGAAAGGATTCACCTTCGAGAAGGTTCGACAGTTGCTTCAGAAGAAAGGCATCCAAACACCCATGAGGAAAGTTGCAGTGATACCTCCAGCGAATGTCTGGAGGCACCTGGCAAAGGCTGACCCAACATTTGCCGTGTCAGAAGATGAGCTGCATCTATGGATGCTTCTTTGCGAAAAGCCCATCTATGGGCTGAATGACGCACCCTTGGCGTGGCAGCTCAATATCCATGAGCACCTAGAATCTCAAGGTGGAGTTCAAAGTGTTCTGGATGAAAATTTGTTTGTTTGGAAGAGCCGCTCGAAGGTCACAGCCCTTATCACCACTCATGTGGATGACTTGGCGGTTTGCTCCAACAAGAAGTTCCTTGAGCTCCAGTATGCCGAGTTGACGAAGAAATATGGTAAAGTGTCTCTACAACATCTTCCATTCTCTCACTGTGGCTGTCGGTACTCAGCGACTGCTACTGGCCTTCGAATGGACCAGAAAGATTTCTGCATGAATTTGAAGGAGGTTCATATTGAGAATGCTACGAATGACGAAAGAGACCTGACCAAGGAAGAGCAGTCCACCTTGCGCTCTCAACTTGGCGGCCTACTTTGGCTTGCAGCCACCAGACTTGATCTGGTTGCAGACATTGGTGTTTTGCAGAGCTATGTCACCAAATCCAAAGTCAAGCATTTGAAGGCTGCCAATCAAGTGATTCAACGAGCGAAAGATCCACGTTTCTGTGACCTTGGCCTGATCTATCAGAAGTTTGCAGACAACTCAAAATGGCGTTTGGCATGTATCCATGATGCTAGTGCACCATCGAAACAGCGAGATTATGCTCAAGAAGGAGTTCTGATCCTGCTGATGGAAGACAGATTGCCTGTCACCACAAGCTATGAGATTGATGGCATCGAGACTTCCGAGGAGCTCTTTGGCGGTAGAGCACATGTTCTGTGGAGTCAGGGCTCACGAAGCAAACGAATCTCTTATTCAACATCTCATGGCGAAACGTTAGCAGCGATCAATGGCATGGAATCTGCAAGCCTTGTGGCACTACGCTTGGCCGAACTGATCCTGCCGGATCGGAAACCGACACTGCAGCAGCTTGCAGCCTTGCAAGAGCGTGGATATGATGCTCTACCAATAGATCATCACACAGATTGCAGAGATCTTTTCGAATTGGTTTCAGGTGAAAAGACATTGCCTCAGGACAAGGCTCAAAGAGTATATACGCTTGCTTTGAAAGAAGCCAGATTGTGTGGTCGAATCAGGTGGTTTCTGCTGATCCCAACTCAATCAATGACAGCTGATCCACTCACAAAACCTATGACTTCTCTTCCTTTGCTGCATCTTCTATCATCAGGGGTAGTTAGATTTTTCAATGAAGGAAAGCATGTGATCCTTGGAAAGCGTTTGCCCAGAACTGAGATTGAAGATGAGACCAGTCTAGAGTATGAAGATTCGAAGATCATTCAAGCGTTAGCACTCACATTGCCTGGCATGTTCCCATCTGGAAATCGTTTGCTCTACTTTGCATTGCTGAGCAGCTGCCTTTTGCCGCTGGTATCCTCGAGCTCTACGACATCGGGCTCCAGCGCTGGCACTTGCAGCACCTCAGATCTGAATGAGAGCACCGTAGCGTATGAAGGTTGGAGCACTTTATTTCTTTTGCTGTCCATTTTTCTCTCAACTTTTGTGACTTGTTTGTTTTGCTTTTGTGTCTTTTGTTGTTGCTGTGATCGTGGTAATGGTAAGAAACATAAGTCTCCGAAAACCTTGCTGGATGAAACCAAGCCATCCAAATATGAATCCAAATTTGAGCATGCTGACATGTCACTTGTAAAGATCATAGAAAGCCAAGACCAAGAAATTCGAACTTTGAAGACTGCGGTAAAGTGTAGAGATGAACAGATCGACATTCTTGAGAGTTGCAGTCTGAGCGTCAATCACGACGCCTTTGTGACGAGTCATGGCGCGAAGTGGCATTTGTCTAGGCATTGCTCACATGTGCAGGGTGCCGTGGCATTCAAGACACTTGGGGCATGCAAACATTGTGTGCAGACCAAACCCAAGTGAAGCCATGAGCAGAGTGAACTTTTGGTGCTGTGTCAATGAGCACAAATCAAGAAGTGTAACATCAGAATTCACATCCTTTAGCTTCGCACTGGAGGCGCGTCTTTTGGGACCAAAACTTGCTTTGCTACCGAAAATATAAGCATTAATACTGGTTAATGATGGTTCATAGTATGGTTAGTATGGTTTTATAAGCATTCATACTGGTTAATGAAATACTGATGGGGAGTATATAGGGAGTTTTTTTGGGGGGGTATAGGCAGTATATGGACAATGATCATTAATGATCGACAATCCATTATCCACGCGTGGATGGATAATCGATGGTATCCGGGGTAAAACATGGAACCCCGAACTGCTCAGCAGTGGAGAGTCGAGAGTTTTCAGTTGACCATGATATTTCTTACGTATTTATCATATGTACTGTACGTGTTTCTACTTTAATGTTCTTTTATATATAGACATTATGGCTATTATCATGCAGAGTCCTACAGACAGCCAATGTTTCTTCAACCGATTTTTTTTTTAAGTCTAGTGACTTAGTGAAGCTGATTTGCAGTTCTTAGATTGAACATGTTTGATTGTTGATTGCGTTTGATTTTTGAAGATGTTTGATGTACGTTGCTGGGACTGTCTGCAACTGATTTGCCATGGTCGTAGGTGAGTGCCAGTTTCATGGGACACATGGAGGACTTTACAGCCAATCACAAGATGCATAGATCAGTGATCTATCAGACATATATCAGACATATTCAGAAATGCCAAGTTCGTCCAAATCCCCTGTACCCGTGAATTCTGGTTTCATCTCCTCCGAGTTATTTGCAAATTCACTGGCTTTAAGCTCTTTGTCGCTTCCATTTACTACAGCTGGTTGCTAACCCATTCCGAATTGGCATTCTTTGTCGACGCCGAATCAGGCCAAAAAAGACTGGTGCAAACAGCAGGACACCTCGCATCGTCCCAGCACGTGGATGTTTTGGTGGTCCTCGCAGAAAAATGGGTGTATGCAGCTCAAAACACACCCAAATAGACTGTGGTTGGTGGTTTGGAACATTTTTTATTTTCCATAATACATGGGATAATCCTTCCCATTGACTAATATTTTTCAGAGGGTTGAAACCACCAACCTGCTGTTCCGGCAGTGACTGTACGGTTTTGGTCCGGAAGATTCCTGAAGTACAAACATCTTTCGTCCAAAGATTGTTCGAAGGCAAATTGTGTTGACAATTAGCTACGCTGGGCAATGTGGTAAAGCCAGTAATCTGGGATGATTTGGGAATTGTTTGAGATTTTTTGGTTTACCACCCAACCCCAAGACTGGTGAAGGATTATTTGGCTGCATGGGGATCATGACTTCATCCACTGATTCACTGGTTGATTCGTGGAGGGGTGCCCTATGGTAGCCTACCCTGCGAAGAGACATCGATATGGAAAACTTACCATGAACAGTTACGTTATGTTAAATCCCCGTTTGAGCCATCAAAATACCTCTGTTGATGGCTTCATATGTCATATACTGATATATACTCTGTAGGTACTAGTAACATCTAGTAATTGCTTATGACCCATAATAGGGATATTTACGAACATCTAAACCAGGGCTATTGGATGGGATAGGGCCTTTTTATTATTGGCTATATGGCCTTTATGGCGCAGGACACTTTCCGGCATGATGTCTGGCTGTCGCTGGCCAAGCCCACCAAGTCTGCTGCTGATGTGCTGCACGTGGAGGTGTGGATGGTGTGGATCCGTTTTGCAGTGTGTGTGTTTTTTTGCGCGTTTACCCTCTGGTTATTTGTTACATAGCTATTGAAAATGACCATTTATAGTGGATTTTCCCATTAATCATTGTGATTTTCCATAGCTATGTTAAATTACCAAAGGGTAAGGTGTGTAGACTAATGATAACTCACAACAATAGTAATGATTGAAAAAAAACATATCAAGAGTAAACTGCATATATACATACACATATGTGCACATTATGCATATATACTGTATATATATACACACACTACATTGTGTATACATACATACATATATATATAGGCTACAAATATGGATTGTCTCAAAACATGGTACATACCTCCATATGTAATCGAAAAGTTGCTCATCATTTTTCCATGTGTTTCTTAATTGAAATGGCAATCAAATCCACTGCGTATGGGATCTTTGGCAGCGTTCCAGCTCCCATACTTACTATTATTACACTGCATATATATATATATTCATATTCATATATACATGTTTGAACGCTACTCATATTTGTGTTGACTACAAATCATGCAACTATTTTGATTGTGAATTTGGAGAAACACGTGGTTTGTGGCAAGGTTTCTTGGATACCAGAGCGACAGAGGTCGTGCTTTTAGAGATGCGGCCACCAACCATGTGGTGATCTTGCAAGCACAGACTTCTAAGCTACACAAGTGTGGGGGAATGATGGGTAAATGTAACCTGCTGTAGTGTCCTGACCAACAAAGAACATGTTGAACATTGGGACTATTGCCATCTATTGCCTGTCGCTCGGGTGGTGATGATTGGTCGATTGGTGCGAAAGTTCTACAAGGCTTTTACGTGGTGGCTTGACATTTGAGATCTGAAGATATACCTCAGACAGAGACACCTCCACATTTTAAATGTTAATAAATAAACCTTCGGTGCCTTCCGGTAATCAAACATGGCAATGGAGAATTCATGTAATTTCATGTATAGGATGTTTCCCATTGCCATGCTTGATTACCAAAGGGTAAATATATATATATTATTAATACTTATTTATATTTATTTATTAGTTACTATAGCCATTGGGACCCAACAGCTGTCAAGTTGCCCACCAGGCCTTGGTGGAAGTGCTTCAGAAGATGATTTTGCATTTGCAGGCCTACTACCATCAGAAGTACCTTGGACAAAGCAAGGTGCAAGACATCATTTTTTCCATGGTAGAAATGTGTATCAGTAAGGCATCTTTTTCTAAGTCATCCCCTCACAGCAGTCTCACAGCAGTCTCATTGGGATTGGTCATGTGATCAGCAGGGCATTCCATCGGGTTTTACCCTTTTTTTCTACGTGTGCCCTGGGTCAAAATATGTCATGTTGTCCGACAAAACGGGATGATCATGAACCCATTCTCAGTCCAAGAATAGGATGTTTTTGTCACTGTGCCCATGTTTGGAATCCATGATGGATGATACTATCGCATTAATGTGGTTAAAACATGTTAAAACAATGCCATAAACCAGCCATTTGGGAATGGTTTACATATACCACCCATTTATTGTGATTTTGGGCATTGTTTATTCTTGTTTTACCCGCATTAATGCATGTTAATCCCATGTAGCTGTAGCTTGACTCATCTCCGGTTCATCACTCCGAGGATGCAACAGCAGCAGGAAGTCGTCCTGGTGCCTACGGAGCTCAGCAAATCGCTGGAGGTCGGACGTCGGACCTGGCATGGGGGTAGCCCCATAGCTGGATTGTTTATTAATGGAAAATACCATGAAAATGGATGATTTGAAGGTATAATCCATTTATAAATGGGTATATAATCCATCTATACCTGGGATTATTTGAAGGTATATACCCCTATTTTTTTGGAAAGCCTCAAAAAATCGTTGGAGGTTCACAAGGCAAAGCAACAATTTAAGCAGCGGAGATACCAACAGAAAAAAGAGAGCGGTGCCCCGTGGGGGAGTGAAGGAGTGAATTTTCATGTAAATACCGATGTAAACTGTAAATACCAATGTAAGAATACCGGAAAATAACATAAAACACTGTAAACTGTAAATACCGATGTCTCATGCACTTGGAGGGTCTGAAACCCTGGTAAAACGCAATTTTCACAAGAAAACATTGGCACGGACAGAAAGAACACTTGATGCACAAACCTGCACAATCACAAGACACTAAATACAAGTACATATTTTTGTCCGTTTTTAGTGGAAAAATCACTCCCCATCATGAGGGCCGTTCTGGCGGAAGATGGGGGTATCGCATGTATTGCATTGATCAATTGAAGCACAAACAATTGGGTTATTTACAAACATTGGGAATATAACAAGAAAATTGGGAGTTTAGAAGTAAAAACATGATAGCTTGACCACTAAGACTCGAGTCCAAAGGGTACACGACCAATGAAAATCCAGATGGTGAACAACCAGGCAACTGAGATTGTGGGTGGTGGTTTTCAAATCAATCATATTCTTTTTGGCTAATTTCTTAATCTCAAAGACTCTAAGAATGGGAGAGCATATTCTTAGGGTTGGTTTGAAACACTGAACACTACGCAGCCGTTGTTTCATCATTTTTTCTTGGTCTTCCAGGTGCATTTTCCACATGTTCAGGAGGGTAAACCAGCTGAGCAAGTGGCAGGTAGATACCCATGTACAAATAAGATCTGCTGGTTCACCAGTCATATGAATGAGGATGTTCTTGTAGAACCAGTTCCCAAAGGTTCTTTTGTTGGGTTCCTATCGCCCAGGGCAACATGTTGTGTTTTCGTCTTGGTGATTTCAAGAAGTGTAAGGTATATTTGTCAAATGTTCCAATAGAAAATAAAATCGGGATGAGCATCCAAACCTACTTTCACATGTTTTGGGACTGTTCTGGACGTCTGGATGACAGGTATCGATAAACCATTTCTGTTTGGAGTAGTGAAAACGACATGTTTTCCAACCAACTCTCTGCGGGTCCATCTCACCGTTGGCAAAAAGCAGAAGTAGTGTGCATGATGGGCAAAGATGTATCTGCGATTTCTGACGCTCCATCGAGGTTGTTACAGATTGATTTCGCATATTTCGCTTTGTCTTTTGGGATTGGCCAGATGGGTGGATAGCTCATTTTCAGACAGGAATGCCGGTGCACGATATGTTGATGTTAAGGAGTTCAACAGGTATCAACTATCCGGAGTCAAATGTGTACAGTGTCATATGAACAGGCGATGCATATATAACGTGGTCCGACCTCTTCGAACTATCAATGCTCTCAACTGGTGCTATTTTCATGTGCTTTTCTTTTCCTTAAAAAAAAGTCTCAAAATGTTTGCATCATCAACTGCTCATCATTTCCCAACTACTTGATGATGGGTGGTTGACATGATGGTGTAAATGCTAATCATGACCATCGTCCATAACTCGGAAGTTTTCTAGCTAAACTTACGGGGTTGGAGAAGGCTTACATATACACATCAATTTGCACTATATATAAGGTTCACATCGTACATCCTCTCACTAAACCCCGCCATTTTTATGTACACCAAATTTTAGAACAGATTAATCAATCAACTCCGCAATAAAGTACACCAACCTTTTTGGGGCTATTGTTTTTTTGCTTCACTGGGATTTGTATGGATTTGTGTCCCATTTTGTTTCCTATTCATTTTTGCCGAATCCGACCTCAAGAAGGTCTAATTGCATTTTCTTAAGCATTTTTTTGTAGATGCCTCAATGATGCCTCCCAACAAACTATGCATGTATGTATACATACATATATGGCAGTGTGTCAAAACCTTGTACCCCTGGTGAACATCAAAATAGCTGGTAAATGGATGTTCATTCCCCTAAAAATGGTATTAATAGGTATTGATCCATACCCATATTCCTACTCTTTGGTAATCAAACATGGCAATGGAAAATCCCAATCTATACATGGGTGTTCCATGTTTAAAACCTCGATTTAGTTCGACGATTTCCGAGCCATTCACGTGTGATCACCGGTACCGAGATCAACTAAGAACCATAGCTCTTCGACAGGTGCCTGTGGAGATGGAGAAGATCCTGCATCAACTGAAATCAAAGCCCCTTGGGACCCGCGGGACAGCTGGGACCCGCGGGACAGCTGGGACCCGCGGGACAGCTGGGACCCTTGGGACGGTGGAGATTTTCACGAGCCAATATTATGAGGACTTATCTAATAGTGGAAACATGGGTAGATTATGGAAAGCACATGGAACAACTTATAAAATCACAGTCCAAGTTGTAGTTACCATTGAGATACTACTACCAAAAACAGGGATTTCACATTGTTCAACCTGTGATAAGATTTAAACTCTGAAAACTATGGTAAATGTTAATTAATATTTCTATTTAATCCAGGATATATTGCCGACAACAAGAGTATAACATGTGGATTTGTCCAAGAGTATTATATAATGTTAATATATATATATATATTCTATACATATACATATATTCATGACAGTTTTTATTTGTACGTACATGTATGAATTGCCTATTTGGCTAGTCTTTAAGACCCAACCAGGGGTTGAAGTTCAATTGTTGGGTTATACTACTATTATACTAAGCATTTTGATGGGGATTGTTAAATCCAATATGGGAACCTCTAGCAACGTTGAGGCTTTAGGGAACTTTAGGGCACTGCAATTCACCATCTTTTCAGGGACCCCAGGGACCCATAGATGTCCTTTTCCCACTGGTTGGTTGATTAATAGAGGGGTTAGAAGGAACCCCTTTAACAATAGGTAAATGATGATAGATGGTATACCAAACCGGCCCCTCTATTTTTACCAAAAGGACATTCATGGTGGATGTTCCATGATTTTCGGGCCTCTCTGACCTGTCTCCGCAGGTTCAGCAATTCTGTCGAGGATTCTCGGCGTCGCCGAAGTCGGATTCGATCGGAGGATGGGATTACCCTCTGGCAATCAAATGTGGCAATGGAGTAATGGAAAATCCCACCAGGTATCGATGGTTTTCCCACTCAAATCTCCATTTCTAAATTTATAAATGATGTTCCCATTAAAACCTCAATATATAGATGACTTTCCCATTAGAGCTTCAATTTTCATCAATTTTCCCACTTGAATCTCAACTTATAGATGACTTTCTCATGAAAATCTCTGATTATCCTTCTTGATGACTTTAAATTTTCCTATTCAAATCTCTGATTTTCCGATTAAAATGTCCATTTAGTTCGGGGATTCTCTGAAGCAATTACGCAATTTCCTGACTTCGTGGGTCCCATTCGTGAGTGCTCACTTGCCATACGCAGAGCCAAGGATTGCGCCACACAGGCTGTGGAATCTGCCCTGGCAGAATTCAGTCAGGACGCCGACAAGGGTGCGTTTTTGATCCTTAGCTGAACGTTGTTCTGCAACGGGAATCTATTGGTGAATCGAATCGGAATCTGGGGGTGAATCTACTCAAGAATCCATTGGAGAGTCTATTTAGGAATCTACTGGGAAATCTGTTGGGGAAAGATGATTGAAAGGCACTTTGTTTGCGATGCGCGAATGGACCGGCTCTGAACGGGCCCCTTCGGCCCGGGTTAGACTTGTCTTCTGCATGGGACCCATATGATCCCTCCTTGATTTTCTGAAAAGACGTGGCAGTAGTGCACCTTGGGTCGGACGAAGGGGTGAGCCAATTGGATTTTGAAGTCTTACCGGCAAACAAACGTTGGCTTCTTTTGGTATGGCTCCAAATTCATCGACACCCATTGCTAGGAACGGTTAGCCCATTGCTACCTCATTGTTGAGCCAGGCTCCTATAATTTTCATGACATCATAGCGAGCCATAGTGGTCCACTAAGGTCACATTTGGAGGCTTGTAGGCTTGCGAAGACCAAAAAGCAGCTTGGGCTGAATGGATTCCTGTTCGGGATGGGTCTAACATAGCAATGGTGGGTCATATCCAATCGGATCAATGGGTTCATTGCATTATATCGCATTATAATTCGCTTTAATTAATTACAAATAATGGGGTTGTCATAACGGGATTGCATATCCCATGGTGGAGTTGGGAATTGGCAAAGCCTACAATTGTCCTATATAGTTTGGCGAATTGATGAAACATGAATGTTCGAACACCAGCTATTGGAGTCGCTTTGCGACAACAACTGCCCACACCAAAATTTATCAGTACCTGGGCCGGGATGTACACAATGCTTCGGGTGTTCAACAAGATTCAAGCATCAAATAGAAGTTCAAATAAGATCAAAGAAGGCTTCCCATATGCTGGGTTTCTGCAATGAAGCACATATTGTATCGTATTGTATGAAAGTTGGAGGTGTTTGCCATGAAAGACTGTTGTGGGAAAACGAGCATGCCGGCTTTCAAACTTGTATCAAAAAGAGGCTTTGCGTCGAGAGACAGAGAGAGAGAGAGAGAGAGACCACAGGCACACCAAAACGCAGCTATTGATCCTGCGATTGTAACTCTCCCGCGCAACTCGTTGATGTTGATGCCCGTTACACCGCTTCATCCTTGTCATTCTCTCACCAATCAGTGGGGTTTTCGCTGGATCACCTGTGTATGGCTCATGTGACCATAGATGTTCGTTTGCTCATGTTTTTCCCCCCTTTTAATGAGGTATGTCCAAAAAAGCTTTTTGCCACTCCTTAATATTGTTTGTCTGAAATGGAGTAGCCCAGAGTTCTATGGATTATCATTGTTGTTTCATTTTTATTGGCTAAACATGATAATCAGGCTGGATTATCATATCTTATTTTCATTCATTCTCATATATATGTTTATAAAATGAAAATCGGCATGTTTAAAAGGGTCCAACATTCCATAAGAACCAGCAAAGTTCTTTCTAGGCGAGCGGCTCAAATTGACAAAGTTGGGAAGGATCACTACTGATCTAAGCTACGGGGTATGAATGAGTGTGTGTGTGTGCGTGTGAGTAAATCTATAACTCACTATGCCTATATTACCGCTTTATCTAGCTACATGTATTTAACATCGAGTAATTGATATATATATATATGCATTTGCATATGCAGTTTATGTATATGTGGATGTAGTTGTAGTTTGTTGATGTGGATGTGCATATACGTATATGATATATATAAATATATACATTACATACAATCATACACACACACTTCTATTAAGTGTATATACACATATATTTGGGTAAATTATACACATATATTTGGGTAAATTATAACGCCACGCCAGTCGGGCCACGGACTCTTTGCACAGAGGAAAAGGGTAAACTATAACGACCTCACTGGAATCATGGTTAATAAGGGAAATCATCCCCAAATGGCCTTAATTCAGGTTAGTGAAATATTATAATTTACCCAGATGTATACTTTGTTGTCTGACATATACATTTAGTGCATAAAAATAATTATAAATGTACAAACAGACATACAACATGATATATAATGATTTTTAACTGTATATATATACTGTATACACATTTGTAAATACTCATGCAACTACGTGTGCGTGATGCAGTTGCAAATCAGTGACTGAGGGAATTTGTCACCGACATCTCGATGCTGAGACAAACGCAGAATAAGGCCTCTGAAGGCACGGCGAAAGCCCTTGAATTTAGTCTGAATGGTTCCAGAAAACACGGAATAGGTATATATATATATATACATGTATAATTATACATATATATATATATATTTATTATATATATATATTTATTATATATATACATATATATATACATATTTATATATATGTACATACATATAAACATATATACATATATACATATATACATATATACATATATACATATATACATATATACATATATACATATATACATACACATATATACATATATATATACATTTACATATATATATATACATATAGATATATTTACATACACATATATACATACACATATATACATACATATATATATATATATACATAGATATATTTACATACACATATATACATACATATATATATATATATACATATATATATACATATACGTATACATATATGTATATAATATTTATATATATATATATTTACATACACATATATATATACATATTTATTTACACACATGTCATGTAATAATATATATATATGCCGTGTTCCTTCAATGGGGATACGCCGAAATGAATGGTTTATGTTTTCAAGCATTAAAATTAAGGTTGCCCTATGTTGCCCAATGTTCAGGAAATCTAAGCTCATGGTTTCTCACGGGGCACAGCTAGTTGTAGGTACTGTACTAAGAACAATGAGAAAGTGCTGTTTTACTTCAGCCAAAAGAACGAGGTTCTCCATGAATTCCTCGTGACTTCTGGTCACAGCATGTGTCGATTAGTTTGAAATGATGTTCATGTTGCGTTGATAGTATGCCTAGATGTCTTCAGACTATGTTTCAAAGATTCTTCGGCACTAAAAACATATGTAATCACATCAGTCTTTCTCAAACTTTCAGATGCGATGATTTGTCGTGATATTCATAAATGGTTTTGTCCAAAAGCGGTGGTATACCTCAAAGTAGTCAACATTGCAAACCCTATTCCCTAAATTTGCTGAAGATTGCTGAAGAGAATTTTGCATGTTTTTCTTTGAATTTGTCCATTGGGTAATCGGTGAATCCTCCACAACCGCGGAATCATCTGGTCATTCGCCGCAGGTGAAAGGATCTGGAAGACCTTTGAAAACCGCAGCGTGAACACCCGAAGTTGTACTGAGGAAGGCGCGCCTGGCGGGGCTTGGCTGCGACCAACCTAAAAACCAAAGCCATGGTGTGAATGTAACGGGAATCATTCAAAACCATGGTTTTTAATGGCATGTCTTGAAATAGGGGACACACACATATATAATTATATATATATACATACATAACATACATACCTACCTACCTACGTATGTACGTACGTGCGTGCATACGTACGTACTTACGTACAGACATACACACATGCACACATGTACACATGCACACATACACACATACACACATACACACACATACACACACATACACACACGCATACACACATACACACATGCACACATCCACACATACACACATACACAAAGACACACAGACACACAGACACACATACACACAGACACACAGACACACATACACACATACACACATACACACATACACATATACACAAAGAGACACAGACACACAGACACACATACACACATCCATACATACACACATACACACATACACACATACACACATACACACATACACACATACAAACATACACACATACACACATACACACATACACACATACACATACACACATACACAAGCGTACAAGCATACACAAGCATACAAGCATACACACATACACACACATACATACATACGCACACTCACATACACACATACATACCGACATACATACATACCGACATACATACACACATGCATATATGCATGCATGCATACATGCGTACATGCATACATGCATACACGCATACATGCATGCATGCATGCATAACATGCAAAACATGCATAGCATGCCATGCATAACATCCATACATCCATACATCCACACATCCATGCATCCCCGTATCCATACATCCTTACATCCATACATCCATACATCCATACATCCAGCCATCCATCCATACATCCATACATACACATACATACACGTACATACATACATACACATACATACACATACATACACATACATACACACACATACACATACATACACATACATACCCATACATACACATACACATACATATACACACACATACATACACATACATACACATACACACATACATGCATACAACCACACAACCATACAACCATACATTCATTCATTCATTCATTCATTCATACATACATACATACATGCATACAACCATACAACCATACAACCATACATACATTCATTCATTCATACATACATACAACCATACAACCATACAACCATACAACCATACAACCATTCATTCATTCATTCATTCATTCATACATACATACATACACACATACATCCATACATAGAATCTATACATACACATATGTACACACTGTGTTTGTATCTATAAACCCATTTGGCTCCCGCCGCCAGGAGCCAAACCCGGTGATTTAACTGGCGCACCATTGTAGCAGCCACATCCGTGTCCCACACAACCAACATCTAAGATTCGAATTTACTTCGTTCCTTTTCGAAAAACTAAATACACTTGAACTATATTAGACTTGTTGACTTGTTCTATATTATGATGCACTAATGATGTTGATTTGGAACAAACTAGACGACAGTGTGGCTCGAAAGAAGAGCCGGAGGGAGTAGATCAAAAGAGGATGGAAAAGAAGTTATGGAGATGACCGATGATGGATGATGATGCAAGATTTTGAATGATGAATGAGGTTGTTGATCCATAATGACTAGTGAATGTACAGAGAAACCTTTACACAAAGAAGTCTACAGTACACACAGAAGTCTTTACACAGAGAAGTCCTTGCACACATAAGATTTTACACACGGACGGTTTTACACAGAGAAGTCTTTTCACAGAAGAGCTTTTACACAGAGAAACGTTTACACAGAGGAACTTTTACACAGAGCAACTTTTTCACACAGGAGCCTTTACACAGGAATCTTTACACAGGGGAGCTTTGACACACAGAAGCTTTTACATAGAGACACACAGACGCATTTACATACAGAAACTTTCACACAGAGAATTTTTTTCACAGAGAAGTCTTTACACAGAGGAGCTTTCACGCACAGAAGCATTTACACAGAGAAGTCTTTACACTGACAGAGGAACTTTTACACACAGAAGTTTTTACACAGAGAAGTCTTTACACAGAGAAACTTTTACACTTAGACGCGTTTACAAACAGATGTTTTTACACACAGAAGCTTTACACACAGGAAACTTTCAGACACAGAAACTTTTACACACAGAGAAGTCTTTGCACAGCGAAGCTTTTACATGCAGGAGCCTTTACGCGGTTCAAAATCGCAATTTGACATTATTTTTTGACGTTCGGCCTCCATTTTGTGCGAAAGGGTTGCTTCTCCTAGTTTCAAATTTTGCAATTTTGCACCAGTTTTTGACGGGAGTTCTTACACAGAGGAGTTAACTTCTAGGTGATCTACTTGTATCTGAAACCCCTACCAAACTCGTACTTCTCAAGTTCTTCTAAATTTCTCTCCTTTGGCGGCAAGGGCTGCCAGGCGGTGGCTTACGAAACGTGACCCTCTGCAGGGATTGTGGGTGTCGGACGCGCAAACGTGTGGTGAATTGTGGTGAAATGCATTATTTCTGTCCGTGGCGTCGCCCCTTCGCACGTCAAAAACTCGTGTAAAATTGCAATCTCACAACGCCAAATGGAAATGTCGCGGTGTAAAATTGCAATTTTGAAAGATCAGCTGCAACCCTTTCGCACAAAATGAGGGTCAACCTCAAAAAAGTAGTGTAAAATTGCGATTTTGAAGCGAAATGGGGGTCGAATGTGTAATGACTACTGCGCCAATGAATTGCAGGATTTTTTGTAGGAGATATGTAGACGTTGAGCACCTGTAGATTGTGTTAATTAATGACGTAGATGATGTATGTGATGTAGATAAAACTGATTTAATCTGAAGTTGATGTAGATCTTGTAGGTAATGTATGAGATGTAGATGATGTAGGTGGTGTAAAGGATGCAGGAGATGTTATGTAGATGTGAAAAGTTGCATCTGGCAGCAGTTATTTGGAAAAAAACCCTTCGTAGTACCTTTGGAGAATAAGATATGTTTTTTTTGACATGTTTGGTGTTTGAAGCATTGTGGGGACATCACTACCATCCACCTTCGAGGCTTGGTGAGCGCTGGCTCCGCACAGAGCTGCCAGAGATTCTGCGATGGGGATCTCTCGACTGATCCTTCAGATCAAACTTGCAACACGGTGCCATGGAGGGAAATGGGGGCGTTCCATAAACGGGGGATCCCGAGTAGATGGTTGGTTTATAATGATTATTTAATGGAAACTTCGCATCATTTACGGGCACCCCAATATCCATGGTTGGGAAATCCCTTTCAAATTCCCAAATTAAACGGAGGTTTCAGTGGGCAAATCATCAAAGTAAACGGGAAAAGTTCGAGCAAACCACATTTGTAGAGGGTATAAGATGTATAAAAGTGAAAAGCACATGATATTGATGTGTTTTGTGTTTTGTGTGTGTATCTATATTTACACATACTTTGCATGTTTGTATGTTCATACTGTTTACTGGTACATATTATTTTGAATGCATATCTTCATGAATATGTTGACCCCGTGCAATGTTTTTCTTGGTCAGTTCACTTGGAGGGTGAGACCGAACATTTTTGGCATTGTACAACGAAACATTCTGAGATCACCATTCGATGCCAATTGCTAAGAAAAGCACATGCCATTTACCATTGTGCATGAGTGATGGGTCCAAAGGGTTGGAAAAAAAAAACTATATGGGGGGTTCCTAAAATCGAGGTACCCAATAATAGATGGCTTATAATGGAAAATCAAATTAAAATGGCGGATTTAGGGGTACTCGTACATTCCCATTTTAGGAAACGTCCATATACAGTATACATATATACACAGACGCATCGAATCGATCTATCGATCTATACATGTGCGCAACAACACAATATTGAAAATCCACCATGAAAGTAAGTGATTTTCCACGTGGGAAGCCCGTGGATTCCATACTGTTGTCCTTGTTCACTGGAGAGGATATCAATCCATTAAAATCATTCAACTCATCATTCATGTGTGACCATCCCCTACTTTTGAGTGGTGAAGTCCTCACTTAAAAAATGGCCTTGCCATGTCCATATGGTACGTTTCTCCCATTGTCAAGATGGCAAAAAACATGTTCTTGCAAGGTGGTCTACGAATCTGCTGGCGATGAAGTGGGTTGGTGCACTTTGTGGTTTTGCCACCATTGGGCGCCTTGGCGTTGTTTTTTGACAAACCTACATACATACATACATGCATGCATGCATACATACATACATACATACATTCATACATTCATACATTCGTACATACGTACATACGTACATACGTACATACGTACATACGTACATACGTACATACGTACATACATACCTACCTACCTACCTACCTACGTACGTACGTACGTACGTACGTACACACAATACACACAATACACACAATACACACAATACACACAATACACACAATACACACACAATACACACAATACACACAATACACACATATAGACATATTTATATACACATATACACTTATACATATACATTTATTTATGTATGCATTCATACATTACAGGTATGTCTATTCTAATGACTAGTATTTCCAACCACACGTCGTATGTTTTTTGTGTTGTTTTCATGATATTTTCTGAGATGCCGGGTTGACGTTGATGTATTGTGCTCTGAGGATACTTTCCCGAGGGATGAGGGAAAGGTCTTGTCCGTCAAACTGGATGAGTTCCTTGGTCGTCTCGATGTTTCCAATGTCACCGGTAGTGATGGGAAAAGGTACCAAAGTGGTCTGTCTATTAGTCCCCAAAGATCATATTAGTTCAGAGGTATTTGAATTTACTTGTGTCCGCTCTCGTCCAGGAAGCGGACACTGTTATACTCTGGTCGTTTCTGTGCATTTTCTAGGTCCATTTTGCGGATTACTTTAAAAGAGAATTGCCAATTGTCAGGACATATAAATTAATAGTCTTCTGGCCAAGTATGCTGTATGCTGACGGTTTTAAAGTGAAACATTACATAAGAAACATCTATATACAGGCGCATGGGGATTTTATGTTGGTAGACCCTACTCCATGGTTTTCCTCAAAGAATCAACATGGAACTGTGTACTGGTCATACATGATTTTAAGGAGGACAGGTCTACCTGTGGTGGGAAATAGTCGGTTTTCTCATGGCATAGATGCACTGCAACCTTTGACGTTTTCTGTTTGACAATAGCCAGGTAGTCATGATCGCATAATGTAACTATGATATATATGTTGATATGATATAATTATATATATATACAATTCTATAAACATATTATAAATGCATGTACCAGTATATGTGAATAAATATATCGTTGTGTCATGTTGTGTCATTATTTCCTCATTTGGTTCCGATCTCTGGTTGGTTGTATGACCATAAACCACCCGTGTTTGATTGTGTTTCCGGATGTCCAATAACTTTTGGTCTGTTTCCAAAACACTTTCAGACTCCCAATCCCTGTTACTATAATGATGGTCCACTATAAATGATATATATATATATATGAATAATATATGAATATATGCATGTGTTATATCATGTATACATATATATATACACATGATTACACATGTACATATGTATATGCCGCAATAATGCATTGATACAGCCATAGTAACAATTACAGTCAGTATATGTCAGTATTATGATGTACAGGAACAATAGCAAACAACGATAACACTCACAACAGCAGTAGCAGCAACAACACAAACAACAATTGCCACCATCGATGTCATTGCTATCGTCGCCATCACTGTCACCCGTAGCAACCCCATCCTCATCATGATCATCAAAACTGTGATGATAGTTATATTCAAAATGTTACTATATAATCACAATCGCACTGATACCGCCATAATTAGAATTATAATGATATGGATAGCAGTAAAATACATTGTGTGCCACAAATGTACAGTTTCTTAACTCCCCAGTTACCTGATGATTGTCGTCATAATCCATGAAATGGAGACCCCCATGAAATGGAAAAAGTCCAGTAGCTTTGGAGCCCGCTTGGAATCCCCTGATGGGACGACAATAAGCCAAGCCATGCAACTTGACCATGGCACAGAATAATATATTCATCTTCCACAAGCTTGCGAGAGGATCATAGGGAAATTATTCCCCCAAGGATGGTACACTTGTTGATTTTACGATATTTTACGTCTTGATTTAGCCATTCTCTGCAACCACCGTGGCCACGCTGGTTAGATCCTCACATAGCAGCAGGCACATGTGATATCCACACATCCATATATTAAATCATATTAACATATCCACATCCACAGAACATAATGTTGGTTGTATATCCCAGATATCACATCATCCCCGCTTTGAATGGTTGTTTACCTCCATTTTTGATGTTGACCCCCTGGTAATTCAACTGTTTGCGAACTGGAGAATCACCATTTTAGCAGGTAAATCATCGAACTAAATCATCCATACCATAGCAAACTGTAACAAATTGCCAGAGACTCAGGCTCAAATAGCCCGTTTTTAGCAAATCATCTACCAAGGAAAGAGGATCGCTCTCCCACTTTGCTGGAAGTCTTCCTCGCAGCGCCTGTTATGGCCCTTCGGCCATGGGGAAATGGGCATTTTACGACGAGAAATTGTGGTTTCTACAACTGGAAAATGGTGGATTTGGGTTTCGCATGATTTGGCCGACATTTTTGGATTGAACATCGTTGCATATATTTTTTTAGCAGCAGCAAGACTTGGGAGTTATCCCAACAGTTTTTGGATTGAAAGCAAAAAATGGAATTTGTTTTCCAATATTGACATAAGGGTTCAAGTGACCAAAGAATGTGTTTGAACAGCAGGCACAGGAATCACCACTAAATGTTTACACAATTTTATAAGGTATAGTGAGTGAATAATAAATTAAAGCGGCTACAAAACTGATTGGTCGTTTCTCACATGTTTTGTTTCCAACCTGTTTGTGATGATAATCCCAGGGTTGAAACTATGAAGCGCATAGAAAGAATCAAGATACACGTTGCAACAGGCAACATGGCAAACATCAAGAATTCACAGGGAAAACATTCATGAAATATTCTTACCTCTGGTACTCAAACATGGAAAATTCCACATTTGGTTCGATGATTGTTCCAGCTATAACCCTCCATGGCTAGTTCTGGGCATTTCCCAACGATCGCCACCTGTGACACCGGGGTTCAGGAACTCCGCCATGCGGTGGCGGACATTTTGAAGCACAACCTCAAGGCAGATCACCAATTCGTTAAGCTTCTTTTAGGACGTGGAAGATTGATGAAACCCTGAACAGGTTGAAGTTAACATGTTTCCAGGTCCCTGTAAGCCGCCCCTGCAGTATCAATGTAAAACTGTAGGCGGAATCTGTCTGCATTGCGTATCAATGACACCAATATTTCAATATTTACATGATTTTTCATGCACGAGCATTTGGGTATGGGTCAAGATCTAAGCCCCAAACATGCATGGTTTGATCACTTTATGGACATAGTATCTACGTGACTAGACTCAGTGTTTGTCTACTGGTAGCTGATTTCGACCCATTCTGATTTATTTGGATATATATATATATATTAAATATTTATCTATATACTATACAAAATCTAGTGGTTTCTGCGAGTAACGAATACGCTAGCGAAGGCTGTTCCGCGAGGGGCTTCGACCAAGCTGACCAAGCTGCATTCGCCGGTAGGTCCCAAGAATTGGGGTTCGATTTCTGGCATCAATTCAATCAATTCGATATGGTAGACATCAATAGCAATAGCATCGTCATCATCACCACCACCATCATCATCATGATAATATGATTGATTTTAATGGACGATAACCATAACAAGTCTAATAATGATATTTATTATTATTACTATATTTGGTATTGTCGTCGTCGTCATCGTCATCATCATCATCATCATCATCATCATCAATATCAATAAACATTAATAAACATTAATAAACATTAATAAACATTAATAAACATTAATACACATAAATAAACATTAATAAACATGAATAAACATGAATAAACATTAATAAACATTGATAAACAATAATAAACAACTACATCATCATCATCATCATCATCATCATCATCATCATCCAATACAGGTAAGGGATGATGGAAATCACACGTCACGTCACCTCCAGGAAATGGTGGAAGATCTTCTCATTGACAAGACGATGACCGCATCTTGGAGCTGTGTTTTTTCGTTCCAAACATGGCGAGTGGCGTCCTTGATCTTAATAAATAACGGATTATTGGGTTAAGCCGTATGATATCAAATGCTCAATGAATGGGTACATGTCATAGAATATAACATGTACATCCAATTTGGGTGTATCTAAAAATAGTGGATTTACCCCCAACTTATCACCATTTTAGTTAGGAACACGAAAATCAACCATTGGATTTGTTGGGTTTTCCTCAACTTGTTCAGCCTTCTAAGGGGTCAAAGGGCCAGGGTTGTGCATGACAAGCCAAGGCTTGCACCGGTGGCCCGTTAAGTTCGATGATTTACCTATTAAAAAAAAAAACTGATTTTCCATAGCAAACTGTGAAATTACCAAAGGGTAGGCGTTCCTTTCCATCTTTGGCAGTTGAAAGTGTGCTCTAACGTTGGTTTGCTGTTTAAGAGAGGATGTCGCGTTGTCTTTTCTGGTGAGTTTTCTTGAGGGAATCAGATGTCTTCTCAAAAGTCTCATGTTGAGCTGTTTTTCCCATAGCGGGCAAGCGAAAGCTGTTGCGAACTGTTCCCTGGGTCTGGAATCTTACAATCTTCCTGGGTCAGTGTGTCTCCCTACATATGGGGTGGTCTGAACACAGGGTATACCCTCAAGGGTCATTAAAAAAAAGTGAAACTTATGATTCTACGATGGATTTAACGGTTACGCAAACGCACATATGTTGGATTTAAACACCTGCTATACACCTACCGACCTGGGACGAAGTGAACCTTAAGGTGCCATTGATTCAGATCATGACTAGCTGGGAAATCCCCTATAAATGGAGGTTTCTAGCTGGAAAAAAGTGAGTCAACTATGAATGGTGGATTTTCCATTTCCATGTTTGATTCCTGAAGGGTATGTTGAAATCATATTCAAAGCAAGTTTTGGATGTTCAGCGATCCAGTTAAAGAAATGACCACCGCCCTTACCATTTCCAGGCGGGAACGACTTCCAAGATTGATCGTACTATCCAATGCTGGATGCGATCGTAGTTTCACCTGGCAGCCAGGAAAATCCCTACTCTGGGAAATTCACCACAAACACACACATGTCACATATATAATCATATATATATAATATAATATATATATATATATATGGCCATATATATATATATTTGCATATATATATATATATTTGCCATATATATATACATATAAACATATATAAACCGATATAGAAGGGGCAATTTTCCCACCAGCCTCGGCCGTTTTTTCGAACTGCCCAGGCGATTTGGAGGAATCAAGTGCGTAGCCTTTGGCCGGATGATATGGTGTGGCCGAAAAGTGCCTTGGTTGAGATTCTTGATAGAAAAAAATGTTGAAATCATGGGATTTTTATAGTCATTTAATGGTTTTTTTGTGGGATATTAATGAGACTTATCGTTGTCATTGGATTGGTTTAAGGGAAAATCTAAAGGAAAAAAAACATATTTTCTGGGAAACAAACACGGTTTCCTGTAGATTTTCCCTTAAACTAAGCCATTGATAGTAGCTACATGTTGGTTGATGCTGGAAGCTCCAGTGAATGTCCAGTGCCCCCGTGATAAACGGGCTGACCTCCGGTGGAAAAGTACCGTGTTTAATGGGTAAATCAGCTATAAAAGATGATAAAAGGCTATTTTCCATAGCTGTTTTGGTTTACTGGAGGGCACTGGAGGGTAACCATTTTTCAGGGGTAACTTTGGCAACGACATCCGAGGGACGACCATGTCCCTTAGCTACTCAGCGGTTTATATTCATCGCATGCTTAAAAGCTTAGCATATTCCTTCGAGATGGTTTGGCGTTCAGAACACGTTTTGTATATGTCGTTTTGTATTGATATTGTATATAATAAGACAGAGTGAAAAAGAGAAGTCGGTGAAGGTCATGTGTATCTATTGTGCTAGAGGGCTGAAGCTTGCCCGAAAGCGACGGTGTTCCATGCGGGACTGCAATTTATTGCATTCTTGCTGCATGTGCTTTGCACAAGCTGAACATAATCGACATATTGAAATCGCATCCCTCGCATGGCCTTTTTTGCACTTATTGGCGGAGGTTCGAGCCTTACAGTACTAACCCTATGTAAACCAACCCTAAATTAAAACATATTAAAACTATATAAACTAACCCTGAATCAAGCCAAAACTAGCTCTAGACTAAACCAAAACAAGCCCTAACTTCATCCAATACTCGAAACTGTTTTGGACTCCAGTGAAACTCTGGGCCAAAGTCCGCGACAGAGACATGGAATCGCCTGTATCAATCTACTGTATCTATGTGTATATCAAGTACCCTCTGGTAAACTAACATAGCTATTGAAAATGGTCATTTATAGTGGATTTTCCCATTAAAAATGGTGATTTTCTATAGCTATGTTAAATTACCAGAGGGTATTCATCCATGACATGCGTGGCAGCTGAGTCTCTCTGAGTCAGGTGGTGTTCTCGTTGAGGGCATCTGGCGCCCCTTGTTGGCTGAATGCTTGGTGGAGGACAGGGCGATCTTCCATGGCCCAAGTCGTGTTGGTCACATCCGAATGTTGGTGAGTTGAATTCATCAGCTTTTGTCATCTTTTGTCAACTCCGGATCTTTGTAAGAAAATCCAAATGAGCACAAAGATCCATAATGATGTGAATCCATATTGTAATATATTGTAATAGGTATTCATCCATTCTTAGCCTTGGCTTGATTATGTGGTAGTTGAACAGATTTATCGCTACAAACTGCTGTGTAAAATCGCTCCAGGACGGCACCTGGATAAATCCCCAGAGAACCATGACACTCTCGAGAGGCCAAAAATGGTTGTGGGGATACTCCAGGCTGTCCCCGGATGTTGCTAAAACGCAATATCATTTAAATATATATATATCATATAATATATATATATACACATATATATATCATATATGTTTATATATGTTCATATATGTTCATCTATGTATATATATATTTATACATACGTATAATATGACATTTTGCCCAATATCATTATATATATATCAGATATCTTCACTCTTATGACCATGTATTCTGCAGCGGGAAGTGTCTACTTGTAGCCGGAAAATCACTTATCAATGGACAATGTCAGCCCTGGAGTAGCAAAACTTATAAATTAGAGGGTACACCCCGAAATAGTGATGTCATTTGCTGCTAAAATCATACCCCCTAGTTTCAAAACAGCCAACCTTTTTCGTTGCCATGTTGGAGCTGCCAAATCCTGGAAACCATGGCTATGACCCAGCGAGAATTGTGTAAATGTACGATCCCTCTTCATAGACTCATTCAGACTTCACACGTATATGGGATTATATATATATACCATATATACATATATATGTACATATATATATATATATGTATACCATTATATATATATACACGTACAATCCCAATATATATTTGAGAATTTGGATTCCGAAAATCCCATGGTCTATCATTATTTCTTCGTGAAAAAGACTGCTACTCCCGTATGGCCCGTAGTTGTGTCTGACAGTGTGTCTGCTGTTGGTGATCGTTTGAGGATTGTCAGCACACTTATGGTCTGTTGATTTCTGTTTGGGGAAGGCTTGTTGATTCATTGTTGTCTAAGTCTCCATTGTTGTTGGTTAAATATCCATTTTATTGGGTAAATATCAATTTTTGAGAACACTTCCCTAAACATTGCCATGGCAATGAAGCATTCCAACACCATCTCGCTATTCATATAGGTTACTCAGAACCCGCAGATGATCCGATGTCATATAACCATATATAACCTCCAGAAACCCCACACCCTCCATATTTCATTTCCCACTGGCTGCTCTCCCCATTCTTGTTGGTCCCCATTTTCAGAAGACACTTAACTCCCTATGTTTACATTGGAACCCCTTTTTGGATGCTTTGATTCTCATTGTTGTCCATGCACGGTTTGATCAGGTGAGTCTTCCAATTTGATCCAGTTGGTGCAGAAAGATCTGCTGTCAAATCACCATCACGCTGTTGTTTATATATATATGTATGTGTGTGTGTGTTTGTAACAAGTGCTCCAAAATCGTCCTTTTGTTTTGCTTTGGCGCCGAGATCCGGTTTTGGAGCTGCAATTTCTGCTTGCATTGTGTACGTTAATGCTTCTCTGTGTAAAAGCTTCTCTGTGTAATAGATTCTCTGTGTGAAAGCTTCTCTGTGTAAAAGCGTCTCTGTGCAAAATGAAAAGGTTCTCTGTGTAAAAGCTTCTCTGTGTAGCAGTTCTCTGTGTGAAAGGTTCTCTGTGTAAAAGTTTTCTCTGTGTGTAAACGCTTCTCTGAGTAAAACCGTGCTGTGTGCAAAAGCTTCTCTGTGCAAAAGCTTCTGCGTGTAAAAGCTTCTCTGTGTAAAAGCTTCTGTGTGTAGAAGCTTCTGTGTGTAAAAGTTGTCCTGTATAAAGCATCTCTGTGAAAAGAAGTGGGAAGAGGTGAGAAGAGTTGAGCCGAGGTGGGAAGAGATGAAAAAACTTGAGGACAGTTGAGAAGAGTTGTGAGAAGAATTGAGAAGACCGGAGGTGGTCTGAGAAGAGTTGCAAAGAGCTGAGAAGTGGTGGCCACAGTTTAAAAGGGGTGAGGCAAGATGATGACGAATTCACAGAACAGAGTTGAGAAGATGTGAGGCTTCGCTCTTATTCATAGGCAAAACTTGTCTTCCAATCCTATAGTGCAACATTTCTTGCTGCTAGAAACTTCCGCGCGAGTTCTACTTGTAAAATACTGTACTGTACCTGATAATTGTTGATTACCTATATGGATAATATTGTGGTTGTTTGATGGTATTTAACGGTATTTAACGGGATAATATCTGGATGAAGTATAATTATATGACTTCATTGTGACGTGACTGGAATGATGGTAATCATCCACAACTATCCACAACTGGCTTTATTTCAGCTTTTCGGGTCAGTGAATTATTATCATTCAGCCAGATACGATATATACATATATATTATATTATATAATGTACAATCATCACCTCTTTACAGCTACTTTTCAGGGGGGGACCATACAAATTGTAAGATACATTTTTGGGGACCCCCTCTTAAATGTAAAATTGGTCGCTGAACGTCCGGCAGGTGTCGTTTTTGTGGGGAGGGTCTTCAAAATACCTTCAAAATGTAAGCTTGCATGTTCAAGGCCCTCCCTCAAAAACACCTTGAAAAATGTAGCTTACATTTTGGGTACGTCACCCCCTTAAACCGGTGATGATTACATACGGATAATTACACATGTTTCATATATATAGTCACAATATGTCACAATCATTATATATTAGTTACCCGCTCCTATTTGATGTGAACACCCGTTGTTTTGTATCCCATTATATTCCCATCAGTATTCCATGTTATGCCACATGTTTTCAATGGCCCTTGCGCAGGCCTCACTGGTTTGGACAACGGCTTCACAATGCGAATGACTTGGGCCAAGGCCCCAGGGCTGTGCCCACTAGCAACGTGCAGATAGCGGCAGACCCATTCTATGATATATGTAGATATATATTATTATATATACAGCCCGAGAATTGGTTAAGAATCCGAAAGCTTGAGGCCCAGGGTCCCTCACATTCTTATTTTTTAATGCAGGCAAATTTCCACCACAATGGGTCGAGGGTCCCTCAAATTCTTGGAGCATTCTTAGTTGTGTATTGTATGCATCTGTGCAATTTGGAGCGAGCTTAAACGAGGCAAGAGGTGGAGTTGGCAGATTTAACAAGAGGCATGCGAAAAAACAATTTTTTAGAGCCTGAAAAATTGTTGTTTGCAAAGCCGGGCTTGTCACTGAGTTTCACAAGGGCAGTTTCATAGCTGAAAATATGTAGCCCGCCTTGGATCCGAGCCCCTCAAATTCTTATACAGTGGATTCTTATACAGTACTCAAGCTGTATATATTATTATATTATATTATATTATATTTTATTAAATTATATTAGATTATATCATATTAAATATACTATTGTTTTATTTTTATTACATATGTATATACATACATATATTATATTTGCGTAATCTTGTATACGTGCATTTATGTATTCTATGTTGTTATATGCTTCAAAAGGCTGTATACACAATTTTCGATGAATGCGTTTACATTTATTGACATATAATACATTTGTGTATATATATATATGTACATATGAATAATGATTTACCCATTTGAATATGATCGAAGGAAGTTTAGAAGTCAAACTTCCGACAATATGGACAGATGAAAAGCAGAGCAGGGAAGAGGCAGAGAGAAGAGGAAGATTAGAAGAAAGAAGAGAGAAAGAGTCAGAAGAAAGAAGATGCAGATGCGCGAAAAGGTAGGAAAGTCGCGAAACACTGTGTTTTTCCAATGATTTGTGGCTCCGGAGGGTCGAAAAGTAGGCTCGCTAAAGCGGCGGTTGCGGAGCCATCTGGCCAGAGGAGAGATGAAAAAATGCACGCCGTTGTGGCGCGAAAGCACATTTCGACCCCCCCCCCGTCACCCCCAATGCACAAAACACACCACGTTCGGACCACTTTTGGAAGTTGCGATGTCGCAAAAGTGCACGCCGTTGTGGCGCGAAGCACATTTCCAAGTGAAAATGTACAAAGCACACCATGGTCGGACCACTTTTGGCAGTTGCGATGTCCAAAAAGTGCACGCCGTTGTGGCGCGAAGCACATTTCGAAGTCAAAATGTACAAAACACTAGGGTTCGGACCACTTTTGGAGGTTCAGATGTCGAAAAAGTGCACGCCGTTGTGGCGCGAAGCACATTTCGAAGTCAAAATGTTAAAACACCAGGGGTTCGGACCACTTTTGCAGGTTCAGATGTCGCTTCGCTTCACTACACTACACTACATTACACTACACTACACTCCACTACACTTTACACTCCACTTTACAGTTACACTCATTACACAACACTACAACTACATGCCAAAAGCTACACCTCACTACACGCCATTACACTACATTACACTACACTACACTCCACTACACTACACTACATTACACTACACTGCACTACCTTCCAGTACACTTCACTACATTACAGTACACTCCACTACACTACAACTACAACTACAACTATACAACTACACTCCACTACAATACACTCCACTACACTCCACTACACTCTACTACACTAAATTACACTACATTACGCTACATTACACTACATTACACTCCACTACACTACACTACATTACACTACACTACCTTCCACTACACTTCACTACATTACACTACACTACACTCCACTACACTACAACTACAACGACGACTACACAACTACACTCCACTACACGAAATTACACTACACACTACATTACACTACACTACACTACATTCCACTACACTCCGCTACACTACACTACATTACGCTACACTACATTACACTGAATGACACTGCACCACAGATAGACAGGTAGACAGATAGACAGATAGACAGATAGATAGATAGATAGATAGACAGGTAGACAGCTAGACAGATGGACAGATCAAAGAGAGAGAGAGAGATAGATAGATAGATAGATACATAGAAGATAGGCTGGTAGGTAAGTAGATAGTCAGAGAAAGAGAGAGAGAAAGAGAGGAGACCTCAAGCACCTTTCGGTCCATCAGTGGATTCGTTCTGCCATCCCTGATTCACAACAGCCAATCTCTCCTATAGGTTTCCTATTTTTGAAACTTCCGCCACCGCCTTGTGCGGTACTACTGGTATATACATATTGAAGAATCAGAATCTGGCTGGTTGCACGGGGGTTTGCGCGTTCATTGCGCAGCCGGAATCGGAATGCAGGAAGCGTTGGTCTTGGAAGAATGCGCTGAATGTGTTGATGACACCGTGCTATTCTGTTGTTGCTGGAGTAGCACCCTACTTCTCTCCTGACATGAAATAATTATAGATGTTTATTGTTCCATCCCTGTTTTGGCTGGTCATATCACCTATCGACTGTATATCTATATATGTATATGTGTGTATTTACCAAACATTACCAAACCCTATGAACCCCCCTGATTTCATTCCCAGATAATTCAGATTGGCTGCTAGTGATGGATGTTCATCCCCTCATATGCATACATTACATGACATTACATTGCATTGCATTGCATTACATTTGCCTACAATGACACACAATGACATACAATTGCATTCAATGGCATACAAGAACCTATTTTATATAACATACTACAATATGCAACAACATCACATTACACTGCAACAACATACCGTAACATACTACACCATGCAACAACATCACATTACCCTGCATTGATTTACGTGACGTTACGTTACACAACATTACATTACATACACATGCAGAGATCCATTCACACACACACGTACATTGTAGACAAATACTTGTATAAACATCAATAAGCATAGATACATGTACCGGATATTTGTGTATATCTATATATATGTATATATACACCAAAAGAAGGAACATCATAGCTTCTGACCCATCCCCATTTGCAAGTTTGGGTTTGTTTGAAAATGGGTCCCCCCGAATCCAGCCAGGTATGTTCCAGTCATGTTGATCATGAATTGGGTGCATACCACTTTGGACCAACCCAAATGGTTGTTGAAACCACTCTATCAATACAATATATATATATGATTATATATGTATATGCACACATATTTACATCTCGGAATTGCTTGAGTGAAACAAGATTCCGCCTTTTTCGTGATGGGACAATCCATGGTTTCAACACGTTTCAACCGTTGGTTTCCTCTCCCCAACCAACCATTGATTTGGTTCCGCCAGGGTGGGAAGCAGGTCACACAGAGTGTCTCAGTCAGAGCAATTTAAGTGGAGTTTCCGGTTGTTGATTCAAGTAGCCATCATAGTATACACATATTTATTTGCATATATATATATATATATGTATATATGTAGATGTATACAATCAAACGAATAATACTAGTACTATTAGAGTCATAATATCAATTATGTAAAAAAACTAAGTATTTAATAGTAACGGTGACGGTGATATCTCAGAATATAAACAGTAATAGTGATGCGTTATCACATACACATGAACATGTGCGTGTCAAACAAGCAGTGTATATACTACTTAGACTAGCGAACCCGTGGGTCTGGGGAAGGGTACCATTTATGTATGTGTATATGTACGTCTATTTTGTGTATGCACATATGATGTATGCATTTAATTTTTATACATGTATATTTACGTGTATATATGTATGTATGTAATGTAATGTAATGTAATGTAATGTAATGTAATGTAATGTAATGTAATGTATATATGTATGTACGTACGTTTGTATGTATGTATGTATGTATGTATGTATGTAATGTATGTAATGTATGTATGTATGTATGTATGTAATGTAATGTAATGTAATGTAATGTAATGTAATGTATGTATGTATGTATGTATGTATGTAATGTATGTAGGTAGGTATGTATGTATGTATGTAATTCATGTTATGTATGTAATGTATGTATGTATGCATGGATGGATGGGTGGATGGATGAATGGATGGATGGATGGATGGATGTATGGATGTATGGATGTATGGATGTATGGATGTATGTATGTTATGTATGTTATGTATGTTATTGTTATGTATGTTATGTATGTTTTGTATGTTATGTATGTTATGTATGTTATGTATGTTAGTATGTATGTAATGTAAATGTAATGTAATGTATGTATGTATGTATGTAATGTATGTATGTATGTATGTATGTATGTATTAATGTAATGTAATGTAATGTAATGTAATGTAATGTAATGTATGTATGTATGTATGTATGTATGGGTGGATGGATGGATGAATGGATGGATGGATGTATGGATGTATGGATGTATGGATGTATGGATGTATGTATGTATATGTGTATTTGTCTTTGTTCATACGCATATATAGATATATACACATACAGGCATACATATATACATTTTTGAATTATCATGAAACCGCATGTGACTGTGTTGGTTGGAGTATCATTTGCAACCCATACTACTTGACAGGAGGAAAAACTCATCCTGTTTAGAGGTATTATGTTTTTTTGGGGGGTAATCTATCCACAGATTGTCACCACCAAGTATTGGCCACGAAGGGCTGTGATTGGATTCCTTTGAGGATAGGCTAGAAGCGCTAAAACAAGTATTCGTAGGTTACTTGAGACTTTCATTATGTTTGATGGGAGTAGCTGCAGCCTCGGAACTGAGCCCAAGGACATGAATTCAAGAACGACTTCAAGGGCCCATCTCGGAAGTGGTCTGAGTATGTCATCGTCAACGAACCTGATGGAGGCTGGTGCTGCACATGGAGGGATTCTGGAGGCAGTTGGTTGCTCTTGAAACATCTGGTGATTCAAGTGCTGTATTTGTATGAATTTGTTGCTTTCCATCCCCGGGATGATGAAAAAACCATAGAAGGGGGGATGGTGATATACCCATTAACAGAGTTGAATATACCCATTAAAATGATTCCCAATATAGGATGACCATTGGCCATTTACATCCATGTACCATGTTTTGAGGATGGCGCATAATGATTATGATCGTGTGATCGCCAATTTACTCCTATGGTTTTAAGGCGGCGGCTCAACTATCAATCAGGTAATGAGGAAACCGCTCAGATTCTCCTTCCAAGGTAAAAACTTCATTTAGAAACTTGTCCCCTAAACCTAACCATTGATACCCAAAATTTTCGACCACCAGTTCTATTCAGAAATACTGAACAGCATTTACAGTATCTGTCTCACATTTCCTTCTCTGTTTTAGTACACTACCTCGGCATTTCCATCCATTTCAGTAATGCAGAGCCGACATCCTTGGTGCCTTTGGGCAATGAGGACTTATCCATTTATCCCCCTTGTAGGGCCATTTTCATAGTCACAATTTTTGTTTTCACACTAATTATACCAGTAGTACCGCACAAGGCGGTGGTGGAAGTTTCAAAAATAGGAAACCCATAGGAGAGGTTGATTGTTGTGAATCACGGATGGCAGAGCGCGAATCCACTGATGGACCGAAAGGTGGTTGGAGTTGTGTTTTTTGGAGTGGTTGCAATGGTTGCAGTGGTCACCTCACCCACAACTGCTGGATGTAGTGTGGTGTAGGGCAATTGTAGTCGTAGTTGCAATGTAGTGGACTGGAGTTGTAGTTGTAGTGTAGTGTAATTAGTGTAGTCTAGTTGTAGTTGTAGTTGTAAAGTAGTGTAGTGTAGTGTACTGTAGTGTGTGTGAAGTAGTGTAGCTGTAGTTGTAGTGTAGTTGTAGTTGTAGTGTAGCGTAGTGTAGTGTAATTAGTGCAGTGTAGTGTTGTGCAATGTAGTGTAGTTGTAGTTGTAGTTGTAGTTGTAGTAGTAGTAGTAGGTAGTAGTAGGTAGTAGTAGGTAGTAGTAGGTAGTAGTAGGTAGTAGTAGGTAGTAGTAGGTAGTAGTAGGTAGTAGTAGGTAGTAGTAGGTAGTAGTAGGTAGTAGTAGGTCGTAGTAGGTCGTAGTAGGTCGTAGTAGGTAGTAGTAGGTAGTAGTAGGTAGTAGTAGGTAGTAGTAGGTAGTAGTAGGTAGTAGTAGGTAGTAGTAGGTAGTAGTTAGTAGTAGGTAGTAGTTAGTAGTAGGTAGTAGTAGGTAGTAGTAGGTAGTAGTAGGTAGTAGTAGGTAGTAGTAGGTAGTAGTAGGTAGTAGTAGGTAGTAGTAGGTAGAAGTAGGTAGAAGTAGGTAGTAGTAGGTAGTAGTTAGTAGTAGGTAGTAGTAGGTAGTAGTAGGTAGTAGTAGGTAGTAGTAGGTAGTAGTAGGTAGTAGGAGGTAGTAGCAGGTAGTAGGAGGTAGTAGGAGGTAGTAGTAGGTAGTAGTAGGTAGTAGTAGGTAGTAGTAGGTAGTAGTAGGTAGTAGTAGGTAGTAGTAGGTAGTAGTAGTTAGTAGTAGTTAGTAGTAGTTAGTAGTAGCTAGTAGTAGCTAGTAGTAGCTAGTAGTAGCTAGTGGTAGCTAGTGGTAGTTAGTGGTAGTTAGTGGTAGTAGTAGGTAGTAGTAGGTAGTAGTAAGTAGTAGTAAGTAGTAGTAAGTAGTAGTAAGTAGTAGTAGTAGTAGTAGTAGTAGTAGTAGTAGTAGTAGTAGTAGTAGTAGTAGTAGTAGTAGTAGTAGTAGTAGTAGTAGTAGTAGTAGTAGTGGTAGTAGGAGTAGGAGTAGGAGTAGTAGTAGTAGTAGGAGTAGTAGGAGTAGGAGTAGTAGGAGTAGTAGGAGTAGGAGTAGGAGTAGTAGTAGTAGTAGCAGTAGCAGTAGCAGCAGCAGGAGTAGTAGTAGTAGCAGCAGCAGCAGGAGTAGTAGTAGTAGTAGTAGTAGGAGTAGTAGGAGTAGGAGTAGGAGTAGTAGTAGTAGTAGCAGTAGCAGTAGCAGCAGCCGGAGTAGTAGTAGTAGCAGCAGCAGCAGCAGGAGTAGTAGTAGTAGTAGTATCTTCTGCAAATTTAGAAGTTGAGATGTCGAAAAAGGGCACGCCCTTGTGGCGCGAAGCACATTTCCAAGTCAAAATGTTAAAAAGAACTACATGCTCGGACCACACTTGAAGGTTCAGATGTGATTTTGCGTGGCGGGTGCAAGGGATTCTGCACCTTGCCAAAAGTGAGCAAAACGTGAAGGTTTTGCTTCGCGCCACAACGGCGTGCACTTTTTCGACCTCACAACTTCCAAAAGTGCTCCGAGCATGGTGTGTTTTGTACATTTTGACTTGGAAATGTGCGTCGCGCCACAACGGCGTGCAATTTTTCATCTCTCATCTGGCCAGCTGGCTCCGCACCCGCCGCTTTAGCGAGCCTACTTTTCGACCCTCCAGAGCCACAAATCATCGCAAAAACACAGTGTTTCGCGACTGCCCTACCTTTTCGCGCACCTGGATCTTCTTTCTTCTGAGACTTTCTCTTTTTTGATCTTCTTTCTTATTCTCTTCTCTTGTCTGACTCTTCCCATCTCTTCTCTTCATCTGTCCATATTGTCGGAAGTTTGACTTCTAAATTTCCTTCGCTTATATATACGAGATGTGTTTGAAATTTCATGATTTTCCATTGCGTAATCTAATCATCATTGTTTTGGTTGTTCTCCCGATGTGAAATCCCAACGCCTATACAAATACCTCTGTGTGTTTGATTGCGTACTGAATCATTATTGCCGGGCGTTGTCGATCCCAATATAAAAACCCCATCACCCGCAGCAGAATGGCTTAAAACTCACATTGGTAGCCATATAATAGGGAAACATCTGCAATTTTCCGATACACTCACGTTTTCTTGGAGGATCGTGGCTGGTGAGCTGTCCTGGATAGTAAGTCCCCCAACCAGGGTTCATTGTCATGGGGATTCAACCAACGACCTTATAATATAAAGGCTTATGGAGTCACCTTAGGGGGGGCTGGTTGAATTGAATCCCCATTTGAATAAGTGGATTTAGAATTCAGTGATAGATAGTTGGATGGATGGATGGACGGATGGATGGATGGATATACATACGTTATAACCCGACTTACGGTACTTACTTACCAAGGTTATTACTGTAACCAGTTCCTAAGTGAGGTCTTCAAAACGTTGGTTGAACGGATAATCCTCCGGGTTCCCCGGGGAGGCTGCTCAGTTGAAGTGGAAAGCCAGTGGATCTGGCAGGCCGGGATTTCGCCGTTTCTGGTGTTATATCATCATGAAAAAACAATGAAAAACAGGTGTTTAAGCCAAAATTCATGGATTTGGGTATGTCTAAAAAAGTGGTATACCCCAAAATTGCAATGTTCATGAAAATGATTAAGCAGTGGATGGAATGGGGTACTCGAGTTACAAAGAAGACCTAGACCATCCCCAAAATCACCATAAATTGGTGGTATAAAGCATCTCCAAATGGTAGGTTGGTTATTATTGGGTTTGCCACATTATTTATGATTTTTCTATATTTTTCTCCATTCTTGAACATCCACTAAATCAATAAACTAGCTACTTACTCTGTGAAAAACTTCAGGTTTCGACATATATCCAAAGTGAGACCTAGCACGACTTGAATTGATCAACGACAAAGTCCGACAAAGTGGGATTTTGCCTGAACGTCACTGAATCAAGCACTTTAACCAACAAGAACCAACAAGAATGTGGGGCGCAACCATCCGAAAATAGGTTGGTATGTAAATCAACAACAAAACATGGGGATGTAAATTGAAAAGCAGGAGATTTCAATCAACAGAAAGGGGGGAGTTTCAAACAAGAAGTTATGTTTTTTTGGGGATTTATAGCACGACGACCAAGGCTTTGCACAACGCGGACATCGCCATTTTTGCAGAATTCAGACACCTATCACTATAGACACTAACGACAAAAATCCTGATTTGCCACCTCATCCAACAAACATTGAAATACCTACTCAAGATTAGTAGTTAACATTAGTTAACTATATACCTCAATATTTCCCTAGTGAACGATTCATCCAACAAACATGGAGTACCTCGAGTTTAGTCTTGGCTGGTTGCATCCCTTTGATGTCGAAAGATTGTTGGGTTGGAACCACCAACGCATTGGTTGCCTCGTGCCATGAAACGTGGCGAACTGGAAAATCCGAACTACATGGCAGTTTTCATTGGAAAGTCATTGAAGTAAATTGAGGATTCTCCATGCCAGTGTCATGAGGCTTGATTTGGTTCTGTAATTTGACGGTACTTTCCCAGTGACAGTAATGTGGGATCCCTAGCAGCAAACCATATCCGCAATTAAATTATCAACCATCTTTCGGGGCTATGATAAATTATCCCTAAAAATCGGGTTGTATTGAATTTCATAAACCTCTACTAGTATTGTAGATCCTATATTTGCAATGGACCCCCCATATCCCCCCATGATATACTGCTGATATGGTGGTATTTACCAACTGGTGGCTGCTTGGAGGATCATCCCACTTGTTAAATTGTCAAAAACCTGGTTCGTAAGTCACCTAAGTGGCTTATCTCATGTTTGAACGGATTATGATGAACCGCCTACGGTTCGTGCGATGATGCTCCATCCGTGAGAATTCCCTGCAGCTACTGCTTTGTTGGGGAGGTTTTCATAGGTATAACCACGGTGAGTTCACCTCTATGAGTTGGGATATAAGCCCAATAAACCATGGTGACCATGGCCTCAAAGGTTCCTTGGTGGACACCTTACTTGAAACGTTGTGCTCATCTTCCAACAAATCCGGTACCAAAGCTGGTACCCTGAAACGCATCATAATCTCTGGTAAACAAATGACAATAGGGTCTAACAAAAGTCCAAACTAGTACTGGGAGGATGTCTACAACGGACACGTACAGCACAGACTCCTCTTGTACGGGGGTTGCAACCAGTGCAATGGTCCGCCCGTTCGAAATTATAAACCCAGCAATACACCTGATGAAAAATAAGCGGAGATTTATATTATCGCAATCACGTGTACGACCTGTTACCGTGTCATTATGAGGATTACAAAAAAATACTGCCAGCTCCCACCTAGTATAATAGATTGCTAGCATATAAGACAAGCAGACCTCATGTTATACCAGATAGCGCCTGGCCCATGCCGGGGCGGAAGTTTCGAAAAAGTACAACAACCATAGGAAGAAGATGGCCTATAAGAAAGATTCTGAGATGCAGAAGCAATGAACTGTTGAAGTTGTGAGGCGCATCAACAAATGGGCAAAAGGTGGTTGATATGCGAACGAAATGATATGAACAAAATCTATGCACAAATGACCGAATGAACCAATGAATCCCTGAATCAATGAATCAATGAACCAATATTGATTCAATGAATGAATAAATGAATCAGTGAATCAATGAAGGAGTGAATGAATGAGTCGATGAATCAATGAGTCAACGAATGAATGGATGGATGAGTTAGCTACTTCTTGGTTGAGCTACTTCTTCACTGAGCGACCTCTTCGCTGAGGTACCTCTTCTCTCAGCTACTTCTTCTCTGAACAGCCTCTAATCTGGGCTAATTCTTCTCTGACCCTGCTCTGAGCTGCCTCACAGCTAGCTCTTCTATAATACAACCCAAGTCTTCTCTTCGCGCAGCGGTTACATTGCGTTTAGCAACTACTTGATGAGGGGTGGTTGACATGATGATGTGGTTGACATGATGGTGTAAATACTAACCATGACCATTGTCCATAACTCGGAAGTTTTCTAACTAAATTTCCTTTGATAAGTGATGATTCCTATATATATATTATATATATATATTGTTTATTTTTGTGTGCATATGTAACTGCGAATCCTGATTTATATGTTAGCAATCATTCTGTGTCAGTTTGCATTTCGAATTAAACGATCTCATCCGTCGGTGCTTAGGCGCGGGCTTTATTCGCCAGCTACGATCAGTTCATCTCCAAGTTTCCAGCCTACGCGGAGCAGGTGGAGATTTGCTGTGGGTCAAGTACAACCTCGCGATCCGCAAAAACTCTGCCTGGAGATAAATACTACATAAGGTGACCCGGATGTCTTATGTAGGCTGTATGATGGACATTTTGAAATTCTGCTGAGATATACTTGATGAATCTTGATGATGTATTTCCCCATGCAGAGAGAAGAAACATTCTGGGTATCTAAGATGACAGTATAGTCATGCTGAAAACAGGTAGGCCTTGAGCTCCCAGCCGGCACTAACCATACCTCACATGAAACTATTTGTTTGCGCCGACTTGGCTAGTAGGGGTTTTGCTGAACTGATTCCCATGATGGGGCCCAGTTTACAACTGAGGCTCAGGAATACAACAGGTAGATTCTGGTAGGTAGATGAACCTGAGGGTATAAGCACGCCATCTACAACTGATAGAGGCCAAATGGGGGCGAGTCTTGGTTTGCAGGTTCCTAGCAAGTTGACATAAGTTGACTACAAATTGTAAATTGGTCAGCCTGGTTCCATGAATAGAAGGACGCCATTGTATAACTCTGGAACATGTTTCGAGCTACAGCTGCAGATGCACGGAATGGGATGTGTTCGATTCTATGCCTTTCTCCTTGGATGTGCATCCCACCTTATTTATAAGTGGTGTACAATCCTACATTTAACCAATATAATTCCATGTAGAAGTGCGAATCTTCCATACATTCTAGGGAACACCGCTCGATGTTCGTAGCTCGCTCCGCAGGTATTACAGCGGATTACTCCCAAAAACAAAAGTGCTTGGAAGATCTCAGTGTGACTTGACTGGTGATGACCGCAGGCGAAACTATTTGGAGTCTGGAGCCAAGTTTACTATTATACATATATATATATATATTTGTGTATACATATATATGTATAAATGTACATATGTGTATATGTAAATAAGTATAAATGTATATATGTATATATGTATATTTGTATATATGTATATATGTATATATGTATATTATGTATATATGTAAACAAGTATATTTGTTTATATGTGTATTTGTTTATATGTATATTTGTACATATGTTTAATATGTATATATGTATACATGTATATATGTATATATGTACATCTGTATATATGTAAGTACGTAAATATGTATATATGTATATAAGTACATATGTTGATATGTATATATGTATATATGTTTATAAGGGCATATGTTTATATGTATATTTTTATATATGTATATATGTATATATGTGTATATGTATATGTATACATGTAAGTATATATGTATATATGTAAATTTGTATATATGTATTTATGTGTATATGTATATGTAGACTTGTATATATGTATATATGTCTATATGTAAATATGTTTATATGTATATATGTATATATGTATACCTGTATATATGTATATGTGTATATATTTATTTGTGTATATATGTAGATTTGTGTATATGTATATATATATGTATATATGTATTTAGGTATATATGTATATATGTATATATGTGAAAATGATTTTACGAGTTTATATTTGTTTGTATATATGTATTTGTGTATTTATGTAATTATGCTTAATTTTGTGTGAGTGTATATATGTATATTTGTATTTGTATGTATGTGTCTTTTTATGTATATACGCGTATATGTAAATATGTAGATATGTCAATATTTGTGTCTGTAGAAATATATACACACATATATATATATATACATATATATATATATGCATATGCATATGTATATGCATATGTTCTGGTATATGCATTTGCATGTGCATTTGCATTTGCATATACATATTATATGTGTGTATATGTATCTTTATAGATACATATGTATATGAGTTTATGTCAGCACTTACCAACTGGGATTCACATCCAAGTTGAGATTGGTATAGTATAGTTTTTGTTGCGAGGGGGATGTGAGTATCATGAGTGGGTCCCGAGACGGGGTCGATATCATGGACTATTCTGGCAACATGCAGTGTGAAACGCAGGTGTACCCGAGAAATGGGATGAATTTGGTGGTAGATGAACATGGTAAGGGGCCATTCAGCCGAGTCGTTTTGGAAGTATACATAAAAAAATACTGAACAACACACCTCGAATATGACAGCCATAAGACACTGGAACAGACCATGAGGCATGCACACGTATACCAAACAACAACTACAAGGGGCTTCAACAGAAATACATAGCAATATTTATATTTGTATATGGATGTTTCTTTAAATGGATGTACCCGAAAATGGATGATTGATAATGAAAACTATTAAAATA